TGTTTAGATACTCAGGTGCTGGCACCTGTTTATGGAAGTAATTTTTAACTGCAAATCCCAGCGTCCAGGCAAAGGACATTTGTTTCTAACCTTGTTCCCCACAGTTTATAATCCATGAAACTCTGACCGCTGTTTTTCTTGAGATCACAGACTGTCAAATTTTCTTGCATGTATCTGTCTCCATTTTGTATACATGTATGGAATCCAGCTCCTAATGTATCTATTATCCTACTGAGACAAATGGGTGAGTCTAGAACACAGTGTATTGCTTTAGAGAACTTGAGTCAGACTTCTAATTTCAGAGTGAGTCATTTACATTTCTCATGAAACAAAACTACATTGGGGTCAAAGTCTGGGAGGATTTTGCAGTTACACTGAGGATGGTGAGACATGGAAAAGATGGTATAGAAAAAAAAAATACGTATAATTACCTCCCATTCAGATAGGAAGGCTCTTTCTGCCCCACTGTGAAAGCCTGCTGGTAATAATTCAGTTACACTCACCCCACTGTGAGAGGAATGACAGCAGTAGATGGGGAAACGTTGTAGCTTTAACTAAGTTAGCTCAGTATCAGTGACCAGAATGCTATGGAGTCAGAAGTTAGCAGGCCAAAATAATCAAGTAGGCTTGTGCAGTTCCATACAGCACAAATGCTGCCTTTGAAATCAAAGTGCTAAGCTAAAGGCTGGCTGGACCTGCTGCCATCCTGCTTTTTACTGCAGTGTTGAATGGTACCCAATATTTTGGCTACAGCAGGTGGTTTGGCATCTGCATTACTCAAAAGCTGTATGTTACAACTCAATTTAAGATCAGACAATCAGCACCTTATGTCATAAGATGAAGGGACCCCCTCTCATACAACAAGGCCACATTAGAAAATCACTTTCTGTATGTTCAAAACATGGGCATCCATCATCTCAAAATGCGTGCCTGCTCATGCTGTACGTCCTCAGTTTGTGCAGGTAAGGTAGCTGTACCCTGCATGGAGCAAGCATTATTGAACATGAGCCTCTTGCTTGGTGAAGGAAGTTTGCATTTTTAATACATAATGGCAACCACCTGTGAGGACCTCCAGAAAGATGGTGAGGCCCAATTAGCATTAGCTACAACAATTCATCTGGCCAAAATCAGCAGAAACCAAGTAAAGAATCAAGCAGCAAGAAAGATTGCAATTGCACCTAAGAAAACTTCACATGGAACAATCACTGAACTTCAGCTCAAGATATAAAAGCAAGTTATTGCTAAATTTTTTATTTTTAAATTTTTTCTTCCATATAGTATGAACAACCTGACAGAATTTTGTTTGCTTAATGTTTCCATCAAGTAAATCACTTCATAATGCTTTCAGCTTTGCCAAATACTAATTGTCTATACTTAAATTATTTCTTTAGTGGCACTATAAATGGCGAAATATTTCTTTCAATGAAAATAGAAAGTAAATATCAACTTCACAATGCAGATTCAGATAACCTCTTTCCATTTGAATGCTTATAACAATAAAAATTCACCATTTAATACAAAAAGTACATTTTTAATCTGTTTATTGGAAAAAGTTTGACAGTATTATTTCCCTAATCTACAAGTTTAAAAAACAACAGGAAAGTACGATGAGTCTATGTTGTTGGGTTTTTTAATAGGAAGACTAAAAACTGGTTTTGTATTTATTTAATAAGCATGGCAGTAATACTGCAGCATTAAAATGTATTTCCAGCCAGTTTTTTTGAGAACTTTTGCTACAATCTATTTATTCTGGATTGTGTAAAGTAGGCTGCTCAGGCAATATATGAGTTTGAGTCTTGTTGTTCCTGTTTAAATTTATTGAAATCTGGCCATTTAACACGTCTCTAAAATAATTTCTAGATATGCTCAGAAAAAGCTTCTTAGCAGCTTGTAATAAATACTTAGAGAACAGCCCCTTCAGCACAGTTAATACTGAGAACTTCTGAGGCACCCAGCACTGAAAGCAGGAGTGGAAGCAAAGCCCTTCTGCTGGTCCCAAACCAGTAAGAGGCAGAAAGAGGAAGCAGCTGAACTTCAGTTGGAGGTAAGGGTTGGAAAAGGAACAATAGTAGGTTCAGAAGCAAAAATAAGAGAGGTAAAGTTGCAAACTTGGAATTTGAAGTGGAAAGAGTGAATATAGTTATTCAATGTTTCTTTGCATTGTCCTCCATCAGTATTTTGGTCCCAAACCTTCTTTACAGCATATCTTCCCAAGTATGCATTAAGTACAGAGTTATTATTTCCTCAGTTGTTTGTTGTTTTGTTTTTTGTTTCATTCTTAAGCCATTTAGTAATTCACAACATCATTTGCCTCTCCTCATTACCATCTCTAGGAAATGAGGTACATTATTTGTCTTTCAAATACAGTAACAGAGGAAGAGGAGATACAAGTGACCATTGGCAGAAATGTCTTCTCACCCAGCAATTCTAGGACTGTGGGTGTTCATGAGATGAGAGAAGGTACAAGAAATGGATTTATTTGAGTCACTTCAGGAAGCCTCCAGAAAGGAGGCCCTGGGATTCCTGATGTCTGCTTGGCAAGCTGGGAGCAAGGGCAAAGAAAGAGAAAGAGGAGGGCTCTGATGGGCAAGAGGTTGCTTCCACTCAGGGGGAGTGCAAGACCAGGCTCTGCAGCTGCAAAGGATCCATGGTTTGAAGAAGCCAGTGGGAGCATGCCTATGGCGTTAAAACATTGGAAGCAGCAATGCGAAAATTTTGCTTGAGATTTTTTGTGCTCCATCTGAGAGCTGAGTGTGTAACAGGATTATGGTTGCATTTCTTGCTACCAGGTATGAGTCAAGCAGATAGACTATATTAGATTTCAGTGTCCTCTCCATCCCTTTGGTGGGAGAGTTTTTAGGGCTACTTGGGGGTGGAGCAGGGCTGCAGGTAGTGACCACACAAATCTATTCATCCAGGTCTGAGATTAAATCAAGGAAGCAGCCCAGGCAGCATAACTGATGCTGTTCTTGCTCTTGCTGCAGGATGGTTTCTGCTATTGAGATCTGATGCTTATATGAGTACAAAGTACACTTCAGTTAGAGTAATTCAGTATTCAAAAATAACAAGTAGGCTTTAATAGCCCTTATACTTAAGTTCCACACAACATTGGGAGAGTCAATGTTCTCTTAGGGTCAAGTTATGCTTGAACTCCTTCATCAATATCCAACTTTATTCCTAGTGAAAGATAACTGGATCATGCTTTGATATGATACAGCCATTTATGTGCCTCTGTTTCCCAAGACCTAATGTTCACAATAAATATATTCAAAATCTGCAAGTATTCTGCTTCAATATTTTCCTTTAAGGGCTATGATAACTCAATTTATTTTATTTTTTAGAACAGAAGAATTCATCTAAAGATTGCCTTTGAAGCTACATGCCTATTTGACCTACTAACTGCATTTTATGAGCATTGCAAAATTTCTGTGATTACAAATATTTTTTCTCTGAAAATCGGTGCAGTCCAAAAAATCAAGAGAACAGAGCCAGGTATTTATCCACTTGCCTAATATTGAGAACATGAGTCATCCCATTGACATGTCTGTTTGTTGTTGAATTGGGGCCTATAGACATATGAGAGCATCACTTATTTAATGCATTTGTCACCAGAGGAAATTGCAGATCATTTGGATATGATCATTCATCATTTCTTCAGATCCGTTCAATAATGAAGGAACATTTACCATCTAGTGAAGAGACCTTCAGACATTGCAATGGCTCAGCCATACCAAGATAATGCATATTGAAAACATTGATCAGAAAAATGCAGCTAAGCAGGCAACCTGCAGAGATGGCGAGAATGTGTGTGAACCTCCTTAATGTTTCACTTGTATCTATGGAATCATCCCAAGCCAACACAGCATCGAGCATTCAAATCCCAACAGGCAATTTTCTGTTGCTTCACTAACCACCACAAAAAGAAAAAAGTTTGCCTTTATACAGGTGTGTGAAAATTTTGATGAAGTGCTACTTACCACCTTATACTAGAAAGCAACAGGGAAAAAACTGATTGCACATTCTCTGTTTTTTTCACAAACTGGCTATTGAGCCCCTTCTCTGATCTATGACTTTGTAAGTCAATGCATTTCTGTGTTGTTTTTCCCAACTAAAACCATTATTGGTGCAATTACGGGATGGTAGAAAAAAGACCAGAAGGTTTGAAAGAAGAGTCAGGGGGTGCTGCATGAGCTTCCCACCTCCTGAGTCATTCTGCTGTCTCTCCCAGTGGGTATCATGCTTCTAAAAAAATAATGAGAGGAATGTTTTTTCTCTCTCATGCAATATGGAATGAAATTTCAAAATAAAAATTTCATTCTTATATATAAAAAACAAGTCACAAAACAGATGTGTTTCATATGGTATATGCAGCAGTGCAAAACCATGTTTAGTCACAGACAAGTCCTCCATTCTGTCTTCCATCAGGGAGAGGCTGTTTTGGGAGATGAGGGAGGGGAGAATCTTATAAATCTCCTATGCCTCATAGAAAAAAAAAAAAAAAAAAAATTTAAGAAGTAAAGAGAGCCTCACCCTGAAAATGCTATAAAGATACAAGTGCATCAAAATTGTGCAATCCCAGGGATGCAGTTTTGTGCTTTAAAACACACTCCAATTCGTATTCAGAATACAGCACCAATATAGTTTCCCAGAGAAAAAGAAAACACTTGTGGATGACCACCTTAAAACAACAGCAGCATATTGCCACAATTAGGATGAAAAACACAAACTCAAAAATAATTCTTATTATAAACATGCAAGCTTAAAAAAACATAGAACCAAAAAGCTGCAAAGAGCAACATCATTTTTCATTATTGTGCTAAGACCTGATTAAATGCTATGAAAAATCCATGCAGTGGCAAAGATGGCTATTATTTCCTCTCCTCTTGCTCTATTAATATTAATTGAAAACTAGGTGTGGCACCACAAGAGAAGAATCTTGGTAAAAACCACCTAGAATTTGTTTGCTTTTAGCATTCTAATTAAATATAATGTTGCCTTACCTGATTAAAAGAGGATTAAAAATCATAGCATAAGAAATATCCATACACTTGTAGATAGATGATGAGAGGCTCCTTCTACTGCAGGTACAGGTTCCTGGGCAAAGAAGCTTGTAAACTCTTGATTTCACTGAAATGAAAAAGCAAAGAAATAAACCTCCCCATAAAAGCAACAAAGGCGCCTCTGCAGTATTCTGTAGTCTCTTCGCCTGCTTCCTGTTCTGAGATTCACTCCTTGAATCCCAGCATCGATCAGAAAATTGGTTGTGGGGGAAAAAAAGGAGGGGGGCGAGCGAGAGGGAGGAAAGGAAGCGGCAGCGGATTCCGCGCTGGCTCCACCTCCCGGCAGGAGCGAGCGCGCTGGAGCCGCACACCCTGCCCGCACACCCTCGGGTACACAGCTTCACATACAGCAGCACCGAGCACTGCCTACCCGTTCTTGAGAGCTGACTGGACATTTAAAGTAGACAACACGATTTGATTATTTTTTTTTTTTTTACAATGAGGTATTTGAATACATCAGTATAATGTTGTAATATGTAACTGCAGAAAACTCAAGGTACTGCAAGATATCTTTATTTTACTATGTACTGATGTATGTTCTGTTTAGAAATAAATAAATCATTCTTTGTGCAGAACTCTCCACTACAGAAATAGTAGCAAATAAGCATGCTGGGTTTTTTTTCCTTTGATTATTGATCATGCAAAACGCAATTGATATTTATATATTTATTGAAAGCCAGAAGGGAAAAAAGTTCTTACGTAAGACAGAAGGAATGGATGCTTGGATCTAGCAAGGACTATTACGCTATTGCTCAATAAAGAGTGTTTAGGGTGATCTGTTTTACTTGAATCCAAGGCTCCGTTGCATTTTATAGCATCTTAGAACTGATCTTTGTTATTCTGGATACTATTAGTTGTAAAAGACTAATGTAAAAAATTGACCGCCTCACCCCAGTTGTCTCTAGCCACAAGTCCTATAATAGCAGTGTTGGATTTAGTGTTACTAAAGGATACCTTATACTGGAATGCTGTGTAGCTGACTGTTTCTACTTTTATCTTCTATTTCTATCACATACACCTGCTCTGTCACATCACACAACTAGCAGCCACCTGCATGTGGGGTTGGCTCAGCAATTCTCAGCTGTGGAGGAAGATTTAATCATACCAAAACATGGGGCCTCGGTGAGGAAAAAAAGTGCAAAGTTAACTAGGAATGGATTTAGATGAAAACCGTGGACTTTATAATTGGGATCCATGATCTATCTAATCACAAAAGTTAGTGTTGTCAACACAAGGGAGTAGCTGAAGAGACAGTCCATTTGAGTAATGACAGATATTTTTGTCAGCTTAAACCATTCATCACGGTTATCCCAAAACCTTGGAGTGTCCCAGGAGAATGACCCATTTTCATACTTGTTCAAACCCTACAATGGGATCTTGGACCCTGAAAGGACTCCCCAAATACAAAAATAGTGCAAGCAGCGATAATAATAGGTCAAAACACCTATTGTGCAAGCATGGACTGAGATTCTTAGAAATCCTGTTGCCACCAAAAAATGCGCTCTAGTTTGACTTTAAGGAATTTTGTCCTTAAAATACTGCTTTATCCAGACGTGCTGGCACTCGTAAGCGGTTTTTGTGAAGCGGGCCCGGGTTACCCTCAGCCGGCGCTGTCCGCGGTGCTGGAGCGCGGCCCGGCTCCGCGGCCACGCTGCTCCTCCGCCCGCGCTCCCCGCTGGGACACGCAGCGCCAGATACTTTGGAATATACTTTGATAACCTTGTGGAAATACATTATAAATGCATATAGGCCTACTTGAGATCAAAGATTCTGAAGCTGATATTTGAAAGCTTAAAGTCACTTTTTGAATGCATTTTCCGCAAAATTATAATTTCATTGGAATATGGAATATTAAAGTTCTGAATATTAATTCAACTTCATAAACTTACCAAGAACTTCTATGCTACCTGAGAAAAAGTAAATATCATTTGAATTAATAACATCTGTAGTATTACAAGTGAGATAAAACTTGTACAAGAAATTTGGAAATTATATGTATCTTTACTACTTATAAAAGTACTAGTAATAGTAGAGTAGCAATTTAGTTAAACATGTATTGGTAATAAACATGAATTTCAGCTGCATTATAAAAACATACACAAATTCAGAGATGCTTTTATTCTGTAATCTTAATCCTTCTACTCACTTCTCACTTCTATAATCTGTAAATACGTGGCAATTACATCTTAGTGCTAAAGCTCATTGGCAAAGTGAGATTTGATTTTCTGTATCTTCCATGAAAAGTAAAATTAAAATATTATAAGATCTCACATATACCACAACAAAGTGTCACAGTAATTAAAAGACAATAAACTTAACTGCTGAGATTCTCAGGAGTTTTCTAAGTTTTTATTTTCCTATAAAAACTGGATTTTTCACAAACTGGCACTAACTTTCAAACAGTTACATGCCTGTAAGAAAGTAAAGAGTTTCTTTATGGAAATTTCAGAAGAGATCCAAAGAGATCCTAGGCAATCTCTTACAGCTGATTCTAAATCTCCTAAAGCTATCCAACAACACATACAAACATGATTTATTCTTGGTTTTATTAACCATTTTAATGGTAATTATAGGAACACCATAGAAATGAAAACAAATATGCATTGAACAAATCTCATTTTCTGATTTTTTTTTCAAGTATCCTAAAACTAGGATAGCTAGAAGAATCTCTCTGCTTATTCAGCCGTGCTGATAGAGCTCATTTCTACCAGAAATTTCCTTTTGCCTCTTAGAGCATGGCTAACAGTCATCTACATAAAAAAATAACCATTCTATTAAATCATGCAAAAACATTTGCCCAGAAGAGATGGAGCAAAAGGTCAAACTCCAGTTTCCACAGTGCATGGGATGCTAAGCTAAAGGAGCAATGCTTGGAGCTATTCTGGCCAACAAACTCTTCTCTACACCCGTCGTTTACATGCCTCAAAGAAATAGCTGTTTCACATATGTAGAACCCTTATTTTACTTTTTATCTTTTTTGTAACCCACAAATCTCTCAACTCTCAAACTCTAGACCTAAATCTGTAAATCACTCAGGCAAAAGACAGGTCTACATATTGAACAGTGGTTTATTGATGTGTCATATTTTCAAAAGATATAAATTAATCTCAATCAAAATTTATTACCCTTTGTTTAGTTCTTATGAAATCATGAAGCCTATTATTCTTGCTTTTAATGTCTGAGAGTCACCTTTGCAAATTACTCATTGAAGTGAAACTGAAATTTAATGTTATTCTAAATATGAAGCATATTCTGTTCCCAGTTCCAGTTAAAGAGAAACTGCTTTGGTGACTACTAATCATTAGCAGTCTTTGAATTTTGTTACATTTCTTTCAGATCTAAAATCTTTGCATCTGAGGTGTATTAGTGCAGGCTGCCAAATTTTACCTCTGCCTGGAAAAAAAAAGCTTTGGAATTTAAAAGATTTCTGGACATTTTTCTACATAATAAAAACTCTCTGGTCTTGGTATCTACTTTTAAAGAAGGGACTATTTTATATCACATTGATAGTATTTTCAAACTTTAAAACCAGTAATTTCTTTGCTGCCTGAGGCTAAAACTGAAGTCCCTTTTAATGACCAATGGTGAATACAGATTTGACAAGGAATAAGTAGAATGGTTTTTGAAAATATAACACTTCCATCTTTGCTCTCTGTGACACTATGTGCCTGTACTTTTAAATTCAGTGCAGCAAAGAGTTTACATGTTCTGTATCCTTATCATTCTTGGCCAAAAGCAGATCAAAGTACAATTATTTTTCTTTAACATGCTAGAGTCAATTGTTTGAAATGTTTTGTCATCTCTCTCAGTGTAATATATTTTCATAGTTTACTTATTTTTAGTCCAGATAACGGCTACATGTACTATGAGACACAGAAACTTTCTAAAGCAAAATCAACTTGGCAAGCATATGTTATTAAACAGAGCAATTATTCTAGGCATTCCAGCTTTTAAAGACTAGCAAATAAATAAATCATAACTTGAGGTTTGCTTAACAAAACCTCCCCTCTCTCCAAGTGATGATTACCCTTCATCTGACCAATTAAACCACATGACTCAGTAGCAATAAATGGAATGAAAACATATGAATGCAATCTCTCTGTTTATAGGTGTCCTGGGAGAACATTATTAGATTTTGTTACTAGCTCTGAGAGCACACTAGTGTACTTGTTGCTGAGGTATCATTTAATTCATTTCTCCACCTTTTAAAATCTGCCTACCTTAAATTGTATTTGTTCACTCTGAAATCGATTGCTTTCATTTCATCTTTGTTTATTGGTCTTGTCATATATACGTTAGATCATTTTAAACATTGTCCATGTCCTGTGAACATATGGTGCATGAAATAATAGCTTCCTAGGCCTGGTTGGCCTCTTTGGACATTACAAGGAATAACAAAATATTTCTTCAGTCTTGATCTCTACAGCTTTGTTGTCTAACAAAATTAATTTATGCTATAGACCTTTCTGACATCAGGAATTATTACCATTTCATAGGAGAGGAACTAAAGCACATACATGCATTAAGTTCTGGAAGTTACACAAGATTGCAAGCCTTAGATATTGAACCCTTATTATCTGAGTCAGTGCCTGTCCCCTGTTCTAACTTTTATTACTGACATAAATATCTAGTACTTTTCAGAATCTACCTGTTTGCCTGTATCTCTGTAAGATCTTGAGGCATATGTCATGCAAAAAACATATTCCCTAATAAATTTGTTGCCTTCTATTATTCTCCTATGTTGTGATGAAATTTACATAAAATAAAAAAACCTTATCAAACAAGATTAGCAAGATTAGAAAAAAATATTGCTTCTAGCACTTGGAAATTTGTTAACTATTTCTGCAGTGGCAGCAGATGCAGTGCCTACTACATATTAGAGGATAGAAATGTTTAGAACATATATGGCAGGAAAGCTACATTTTTCCAGTTAACCTATGGAACTTTTCACCAAATCCCTCACTGAGCAGAGAACAATGCCAAGTGAGGTTGGCTGCAAAGCTCCTGAAGACCAACAGTGATGCTGTTAGGCCCACCTCCACCTTGAGGATCACTGGCATAAGACTTTTTTTTTATTGATCAGTTATTTTATTATTGTTTGCTGGTAATTATCTTGAATTTAGGCATCAGTTTAATACAATTATTTTATTTCTTCAAAATGTAGATACACAAGATTCCTACTCTTTCTAAATGTATGAGCAGCATATGTGCATTTATAAGTGAACATTTTAAGATATTGCTAAGTGGTGATCGTTGTGTACATTTTGTTCAGCTTA